TATAAGAGTGTTGGTACTACTATACTTTCATACATTCCCTTCTTTGCCTCCATAGATAACGTTTTTTGACTCCACATATACCTCAACGCACCACTCACCTTTTTTCCCTCATTAATTCTATGATTAACCTCATCCTTCATAAATCCATCCGCCGACACGACAACTCCCAAGTATCTGAAAACATTCACTTATTCCATACTCCTCCTCCCCAATTTGATATCCAATTTTTCTTTATCTAAATCATTTGATACCCTCATCACCTTACTCTTTTCTATGTTCACTTTCAACTTTCTACCTTTACACACATTCTCAAACTCATCCACTAACCTTTGCAATTATTCTTTAGAATCTCCCATAAGCACAGTATCATCAGCAAAAAGTAACTGTGTTAATTCCCATTTTTAATTTGATTCCCCATAATTTAATCCCACCCCTCTCCTGAACACCCTAGCATTTACTTCTTTTACAACCAAATCTATAAATATATTAAACAACCATGGTGACATTACACATCCCTGTCTAAGACCTACTTTTACTGGGAAGTAGTCTCCCTCTCTTCTACACACCCTAACCTGAGCCTCACTATCCTCATAAAAACTCTTTACAGCATTTAATAACTTACCACCTATTCCATATACTTGCAACATCTGCCACATTGCTCCTCTATCCACTCTATCATATGCCTTTTCTAAATCCATAAATGCAATAAAAACTTCCCTACCTTTATCTAAATACAGTTCACATATATGCTTCAATGTAAACACTTGATCTACACATCCCCTACCCACTCTGAAACCTCCTTGCTTATCCATAATCCTACATTCTGTCTTGCCTCTAATTCTTTCAATTATAACCCTACCGTACACTTTTCCTGGTATATTCAATAAACTTATTCCTCAATAATTTTTACAATCTCTTTTGTCCCCTTTCCCTTTATATAAAGGGACTATACATGCTCTCCACCAATCCCTAGGTACCTTCCCCTCTTTCATACATTTATTAAACAAAAGTACCAACCACTCCAACACTATATCCCCCCCTGCTTTTAACATTTCTGTCATGATCCCATCAGTTCCAGCTGCTTTACCCCCTTTCATTCTACGTAATACCTCGCGTACCTCCCCCACACTTACATTCTGCTCTTCTTCACTCCTAAAAGATGGTATACCTCCCTGACCAGTGCATGAAATTACCGTCTCCCTTTCTTCCTCAACATTTAAAAGTTATTGGTGAATATTGGAAACCCAGTGGCACCAGGCGACAAGGACAATAACAGGTATAGTGGAGGAACAGAAATCAGCAGGAAGAGAAAAGAGAAGGGAGGTTTTTCAAACATTTTTACTAATACACGCAGTGCAAGAAATAAGATGGACGAATTGAGAGTAGTTGCAGTGTGGGTAACACTGATGGTTTTGCCATAACTGAGACGTGGTTTAATATGAAAAATCGGGATTTGCCTGCTGAATGGCACATTCAGGGTTTTAAATTGTTTAGAGTAGAGAGAAGTATCAGTAAGGGGGGTGGGGTGGCACTCCATGTCCGACATCATTTGTTGCATAAAAATGGGTATAAAGTCTGAAATAACACATACAGAGTCTGTCTGAATAGAATTTTCAGAGGGGTATGAAAAATTGATTTTAGGCATGATATACCGTCCCTCAAACTTAGATAGGGACTGAGGGAGACTACTTTGGGAGGAAACTGTTAAGGCCACAAGGCATGATAACGTAGTAATTCTAGTCAGAGTGATTTGAATTTTTTGACTGGGAATTTAGAATAACGACTTTTTCGAAGTAGTTCAGGATTTTTTTTGAAGCAGTTTGTGACAGAACCTACAAGGGAAAATAACCTGCTTGACTTGATTCTGGCAAACAACAAAACCCTTGTTAATAATTTAGAAATTACAGAGGAACTCGGCGCAAGCAACCACAAATCAATTAATTACCTTTAGCACTGAATTGAAGTATGATAGTAGGAACAACTCGGTAACTGTCCAAGATTTTCGCTTAGCAGATTACAATGGGCTTAGAGAACACTTATCATCTGTTGACGGGGTAACGAAGAGAGCTATCAATATGACAGCTTTTTAAACACTATACAAGCTGCCCAAAGAACGTTTATCAACACAGATCAAATAGAAATGACCCAAAATGGATGAATAATAGGCTCAAATATCTTTTAGGGCAGAAGAAAAGAATTTATAGGCGCATCAAAAGAGGTGAGGGTCATCTTATGAATCAATATATTTACATTAAAAAGGGTATAAGAAAAGCTAAACGGGACTACAAAATTAAAGTCGCTAGGGATTCGAAAACTAACGCAAAAGGTTTTTTCCAGGCATGCGTGAGCGTGTTTGATAGGAGTGAATGGAGACAAATGGTTTTTAATACTTGACGTGCTGTTGGAGTGTGAGCAAAGTAACATTTATGAAGGGATTCAGGGAAACCGGCAGGCCGGACTTGAGTCCTGGAGATGGGAAGTACAGTGCCTGCACTCTGAAGGAGGGGTGTTAATGTTGCAGTTTAAAAACTGTAGTGTAAAGCACCCTTCTGGCAAGACAGTGATGGAGTGAATGATGGTGAAAGTTTTTCTTTTTCGGGCCACCCTGCCTTGGTGGGAATCGGCCAGTGTGATAATAATAAAAAAAAAAAATTATAGAACAAAAGTTAGAGATAAGATAGGTCCCCTTAAAAATAACTATGGGCATGTTACTGACAAGGAGAATGAAATGTGCTTGATTTTTAATAATTATTTTCTCTCGGTTTTCACACAGGAAGACACTAACAATATCCCAGTAATTAACTTTTATAATGGGCCTGAAGATAAATTATGTAATATCACAGTCACTAGTGAAATGGTTATGAAACAAGCAGACCACCTGAAACAAAATAAATAGCTGGGTCCAGATGAGCTTTCTTCAAGGGTTCTTAAGAAATGCAAAAATGGAACTCTATGAACCATTAACTAATATTTTTAATTTATCTCTTCAAACAGGTGTAATGTCTGATATGTGGAAGATGGCTAATGTAATTCCTATTTTTAAAGCAGGGGACAAGTCGTTACCATCAAATTACCAACCAATAAGCCTGACCCTAATTGTAGGCAAATTACTAAGAGTCAATTATAGCTGATATTAAAAGAAGCCATCTGGATAAGCATAATTTGATTAATGATACTCAGCATGGATTCATGAAGGGTCGTTCCTGCCTAACTAATTTATTAACCTGCTTTAGTAAAGCTTTCGAGGCTGTTGATCATGATAAAGAATTTGATATTGTTTATTTAGATTTTGGTAAGGCTTTTGATTGAGTACCGCATCAGAGACTGTTAAAGAAAGTGGCAGCTCATGGCATTAGGGGAAAAGTGCTATCATGGATCGAGTCATGACTCACCAATAGGAAGCAGTGTGCATAAATGGGGTTAAATCAGAGTGGGGATCTGTAACAAGTGGCATTCCACAGGGATCAGTCCTAGGCACGTTGTTGTTTATATATCAATGACCTTGATGAGGGAATTACTAGTGATGTGAGCAAATTTGCTGATGACACAAAGATAAGTAGGATAACTGATTCAAACAAAGATGTCACAGAACTTCAGGAGGACTTAAACAAACTCAGTTCCTAGTCAGAAAAGTGGCAAATGCAGTTCAGTGTAGATAAATGCAAGGTTCTGAAGCTTGGGAGTGTCCATAACCTTAGTACTTATAAGTTAAATAACGTAGAATTTAGCCATACAGATTGCGAAAAGGACTTAGGGGTTATGGTAAGCAGCACTCTTAAACCAAGACAGCAATGCCTAAGCATACATAATAAGGCAAACAGATTACTGGATTTTATAACAAGAAGTGTAAGCAACAGAAGTCCTGCAGTTATATTACAGCTTTATACATCATTAGTAAGGCCTCACTTAGATTACGCAGCTCAGTACTTGTTTCCATATTACAGAATGGATATAAATTCATTAGAAAACATTCAGCGTAGAATGACTGAATTAATACATAGCATTAGAAATCTTCCGTTTGAAGAAATACTGAAGACCCTTAAACTACATTCACTTGTAAGACGAAGAATGAGGGTAGACATGATCGAAGTGGAAGATGGGTGTTAACAAAGGGGATATAAATAAGGTCTTGAGGATATCTCTCCAAGAGAGAACTCACAATAATGGATTCAAATTAGGAAAGTACTGGTTTGATAATAGGGTAGTTGATGAATGGAATGGTCTATCTAGTAGGGTTATTGAAATTAAAACCTTGGTTAATTTAAAATTTAGGTTGGATAAATACATGGGTGAGAGGGGTTGGATTTAAGTGGGACTTGCACATGAGTGAATGGAATTATCAAAGCTTATTTCTTGGGTAGCATTGAAGGTTGGGTTGGGCAAATATTTTGTTGGTGGAATGGATTATGAATGACCTGCCTAGTATGGGCCAACAGGCGGCCTGCTGCAGTGTTCTGTCGTTCTTATCATCTAGTCACTGTATGAGGAAACAGTTGTTAATCCAGAAGAACAAGGGAGGAGGAAAGGGCCCACGGACTGAAATTTAGTCATTAAATGAGTATCATTTGTTATTTTGGGTTATTCAAAATTACATTATGGAAACAGTTGTTATGCAGGGATCACTGTATGTAAGGTGTGGCAGACACACAGGAAAATGATGAAACATATAATATACATGAAATACTTATTTAAAACATAAATGAAAAAATCTAATGGTAACATTATATTCATAGTGTTGATATAATAAACTACAGTACGGCCACTAAACGTTATACTGTATATCTCAAGAGACTACAAACTATGGTTAAAATTCCCTCAGTTTCTTAATTTGGTTCATATTGATACATATTTCTTTACATTCAACATTTTACTGAACTACACTAATAAATTTAATTCTAAATAACTACAACTATGTCAAGCCAAGAAAAACTTTTGAAAAACTTGAAAAAAAAAAAGGAAAAAACTTGAACTACATGTGATGCATCGGCCTCGGCACTCACCTGGGAAGTGGAATCCTCGGGTAACTGAGGAAATAGCATTAATCAGCATTCATTGATCTATATTTTGTTACAGGTCATTCAATCATCTATATTTTATTACAGGTCATCTAGTCATCTATATTTTATTACAGGTCATTCAGTTATCTGTATTTTGTTAAAAGTTCATTCAATCATCTATATTTTATTACTTATCACTCAATCATCTATTTAGGTATTGTGTTATTGGCTATAAGGTTACTGCAATAATAATAAATAAACACTGAATTCTCTATAATTTGTTACTGATCAATTATCATTTATACAAGTATTGTATTATTGGCTATAAGGTTATTGCAACAATAATAACTGAACACTGACTCATTTGCTTTGTTACTTCTCATTCAATCATCTACAAAGATACTGCTACTGGTTATAGGGTTACTGCAACAATAACATGTGGGCACTCAATCATCTACACTGTGTTACAGGGTTATCAGAAAAATCACAGAATATAACACATACTAATAATTTCAATTTCTTGATTATTGATACTGCATTAAACTGGTCACACATCACACCCATTACTTCAGATGAAACCTTTCAATGTAAAGCTCCTTCATAATCAATCTCTCATGCACATCTCACAGGAGAAGAGAATAAAAATGTAAAGTATAGAGAAAAAAATCAGAAAAGCTAAATGAGGAGATATATGAGGAGGAAAAAAAAACTCTAAGTTAAGAAGGCCAAACCCACCCATCAAATGACAAAGCATTATAGATGATATGGAAAAGAAACTAATACCAAATGTAAAAAAAAAAAAAAAAATGAAGAAAACAACAAATTATATACACATATGAGAAATATAAAGGAAAACTGAGCTAAGAGGTACATGAGAAGAGAGTTGATACAGCAGGTCTCATTGAAACCAGCCTGGGAAAACACAGCATTACAAATGAGGAAGCATTCAAGGGGAAAACTACTCAGTGTTAAAGGTCAGAGTAAGAAAGATTTATAAACATTTGTAAAACAAAAACCAACCTGTAGGTATTACAATACAAAACACAACTGAAATTAAAATTCTATTTTTTTTAAATAGCTATCTTGCCAGAAGTGTGCAGACATCACAATCAAAATTATCCATTGAACTGCAAATTACCTCACTCTCTCTCTCAGAATGCAGGCACTATACTTCCCACCTCTAGAGCTCAGGTCTGTCTAACCGATTTTCCCTGAGTGCCATCATAAATGCTACCTTTCTCACACTCCAACAGTATGGCGAATCCTACAAACCACTTATTCCACTCACTCCAATTTAAAATACTCACACACAGTTTCTCCTTTCCACTCCAGATTTATACACCATCTTTGTCATCCTATTTTGCTATACCCTCTCTAAATGACCAAACCACCTCCACAACCCCTCCTTCACCCTCTGAATTATACTTGTCACAACCCCACACTGACTTCTAATTTTTAAGCTCCAAATTTTCTGCATAATATTCACACCACTCTTTAACCCAACATCTTCACTGCCTCCAGTCTCCTCCTCACTGCAAAAGCACGTAAGTAAAAGTATGCAAAACCAACATGATGGTAATGAAACAAAAATACAGCTTATCATAACCTTAACTGATGACATTTATCCACTATAATAAAGGTCCCATGAAACTGCATTTATGTTTCTGCCATTCTCACTGTAATGCTAAAAGACCATGCCTCACACCCATGTAAGTGTTGGTACCACTGTACACCAATACATTTCCCAATACATTTCCCATTTTCTTCATAGATAATGTTCTGAAGTGAAATTACGAATGTTGGTGGAAGAATTTACAAGAGCATATAGGAGAAGGAAATTAAAAGTGCACAGGCAACCGGTAAATACTGCAAAGCTGAAAGATTTAGCCCACTTTAATTTCAACAGCAGTATAAGGAGAAACAAAATCACTTTATCATTATTTAATGATAGATTCAGACTGTACCCAATACACTCCAACAAAAAATTCCAATTAAAAAGGAATGTGCATGTTGATGCAATGCTAACTCCGGCTGCCAATTTCTTTAGTGATAGGTAGGAGGCACTTGTGCCTGAAGCAAGCACTTCTCAAAAGAGTTACATTTGTCATAGACTAACATAGTTCCACTCCCCTCTATTTTGTCAACTAATGTCACCCTACAAATTTGCAGGCTTTCTTATTTGCAAATTCTGATTATCCAGCGCTTTTACTGATGGGAAACAAGAAAACAGATTTAGTTTTCAAGCATTTTTCTGGCTCGGTGTTTTTTCCCAAACCCACCTCTCTCATGAATTTGGTCATTATTTCTTATAAATGTAAATATTAATCAGATTTAAGTGATATTTTCAGAGATATAGTTTCTGAAACACAAAAATTATTTAAACTCTTGAACAAAATTCTTTACAAAGACTTACTTTTGTATTATTCGCAGTTTCTAGCTTCTCAAGACCTCAGGAGCATAACCCCGCAAATTTGTAAGGGCAACTGTATTTTTCAACAAACTATATTTTGAAATATCCAATTTGCACAGCTGTTCCTCTTCAGAATGCCACCCTGTTCAATATTGCCATACTGCCTGCAGACATATCAACACCGTAAACTCATTTAGTGCCCAACCATTATCTTTCCATTATAAACTAATTTTGCTAAATTTTCTTTCATTAACACAGTGCAGAAATTTGGAGCTTTTGTTTCTACGCTACCTGTGAAGATCTCTCTCAACATTCCTATCACTCACAGCTCCTGTTTTCCTATACAAAATCCTTGAATCAAGCATTTAAAAAATTTTACTTTTCTCACAACAGATTCTTTTACTCATTTTTTTTCTTTTGTCTTTCTTGAAGTGTTCAAGAGGCTGATCACTAGTTACCTAGTAAGAGAAACCCACCAGTGCTCTTCTAGAAACTTTGTTTGACTTTGCCTAAATTCAATCAATAAAAATTATTGGACTACCACTTATCTTACATACTCTTCAATACACCATTAACTCTCTAACCTCCGCTAATCTGAGCTTACTTAAATACTGTATACACAGTACACCATTCCTTCTTGGCACCCATCAGTTGCTCCCTTCACACACTTTTTTCTTACTTTGCAAAAAAAAAAAAAATAAATAAATAAAAATGCCTGATCATTACCATTCCACAGCCTGCAGGCTGAGGGTGAAAAAGAATTTTCACTTTTATAAAAGTCAAACAAAACCATATATTTAAAAGCAAAAATGCAGAGTATGAAAATTTTTTTTTTTTTTTTTTTTTTTTTCAACAAGTCGGCCGTCTCCCACCGAGATTCTAGAATGTAACAGTATCCATAACAAAGAGCAATAAATCATACACATTTTCCTGGTCTAAAAACCAAGATCCACCACATTGTTCAAACCACGTGCCAGACACTGATATATGAGGTAGAGCCTGCACCATGCAGCAGTATGTTTTACAAATCTTGTATACATGACAAAATAACAATCACATGGATGCATAACTGATCACATTCATGTGCAGTACACAGCGATGGAAAATTATTTAAATACCTAACCCCCAGAAAAAAGGTACTGAGTAGGCACATTTGATTGGTTCTACCTTTCTGCTGATTATTTTTCAATCTTGCTACTGTTACCCAGTGTGCTACAGAAAAATATTTATATAAAATAACCACTCAGGTGGTCACAGGGTGAAGTCATCATGTTTGAGCGGTAGTTTGAGTAGGTAATTTTGGAAAGTTTTTTAGTGCATTCTATTTTGTGTATTTTCTGGTGCTCTCATGTTTATTTGTAAATCCCTAGTATGCAGGGGCCTGTGTTTTGGAGAGTATTTAACGTTTCCACTGTAGGCTATGTAGCCTGCAGAAAGGAGGTGTCATGGAGCCTCCCTGTTCATAAATGTTCATTTATTTTGTTTAACTCATTAGTAGCAGTGTGCTAGTGAGTTAATGTGAACTGGAGTGTGGTGGTTTTTTTGGAGTAGATTGTAAGTTGTATGTAAGTTAGTATTATTAAATTATATATATTTTTGTATAGGTGAGTTTTTGTGTCCTTATACAACGTTAATTATTTGCACTCATGTTTAATTTGTATGAGTACATGCTGGCCCAAGGTTTGCTGTATGTTTTCAGAGTAATTTTATAACCCCTAGACAGCAGTGTGAGCAGCCTTTAGGAGCCAGGAACATTTTAATTAAGTTACATCAAAGTTGTAACACTACCACATGGACCCACTAATATCTCTCATATGCATAAGTTACATTCATTAAGAAAAAGAATTAATGAAGTGCATTTGAATCTTAGATAAATACCATGTATTTCCAGCCATAAGACAAGATTTTTTCTTTCTTTCTTTTGCTGAATAAATCAGCCCAATTGTGAAGCCTGATAATACAGCCTCTCCTCAATTAGCGACGTACTCGTTTACCGACAACTCGGACTTACGACAGGCTCTCTAACTAGCATGCATACCTAAATAATGCATATTAGAGCTGATTTCCTCCATTCTGTTTATTACAATATACAGTACACTGCTGTATAAACATTTAAAAATATACCAGAAATGTTATAAATGGCACAAAGGTGACATTAAAACATTATCAAAGATGGCTGACACAAACCCACTACCATTATGGTATGCTCCTCACTTAGCAACAAATTAGTTTACCGATGTTGTCTTATGAACGGAATTCCATCATTAAGTCAGGATTATAATAATAAACCCTCAAATGAATGGTCTAACGGGGAGGTTGATAGCCAGTAATGGTTACCATAGCGGACAGAGAGAAAATTGTCTGCCATGATTGTAACACTAACAGACAATTCTTCGACCAACGTACTTTGTCCACTCTTTTAGAATCACTGAACCCAGCAGATTCTGCCCCATATTTTCAAACTCCAAAAAATCAAGAGTGTACAACCTGAGCCAAAGCACTGCCGCTCCCTCCCTGTCATATGACCAGGGTCATTTAACAGCCAATAATATATGGTAGATATACTCATAACTCAATTGCATTTGGACTATTGAGTTTAACCAAATATCCCCATAATAATTTATAAATAATAATTTACAATCCATAATCAAACATCATGCTAATAATGATTAAAGTAAAATACTGTAATAAGATAGAATGAAGGCGTGTGTGAATCCTTCTCCATACTTTGCTACTAATATCCAAAATGCATTCCCATCTACAATGCTCACAAGAATTCTTACTGAAGTCCATGAACATTTAAGCACATTCCTTGACTATTTCACTTCCATATGTACAGGTTGAACAAACCGGCCATATCCCACCAAAGTAAGGTGGCCCCAAAAAAAAAGAACAAGAAGTTCCTCTTTTTAACTTTAGCATGTATACAGGAGAAGGGTTCCTTGCCCCTTGCTTTCAGCATTTTAGTCACCTCTTAAGACACACATGGAGATAAGAGGAAATAAACAAGAACTAGTAAGAAAAAAGAAAACCCAGAGAGGTGTGTGTGTATTTTTTTTTTTTCTCAACAAGTCGGCCATTTCCCACCGAGGCAGGGTGACCCAAAAAAGAAAGAAAATCCCCAAAAAGAAAATACTTTCATCATCATTCAACACTTTCACCACACTCGCACATTATCACTGTTTTTGCAGAGGTGCTCAGAATACAACAGTTTAGAAGCATATACGTATAAAGATACACAACATATCCCTCCAAACTGCCAATATCCCAAACCCCTCCTTTAAAGTGCAGGCATTGTACTTCCCATTTCCAGGACTCAAGTCCGACTATATGAAAATAACCGGTTTCCTTGAATCCCTTCACTAAATATTACCCTGCTCACACTCCAACAGATCGTCAGGTCCCAAGTATCATTCGTCTCCATTCACTCCTATCTAACACCTCATGCACGCTTGCTGGAAGTCCAAGCCCCTCGCCCACAAAACCTCCTTTACGCCCTCTCTCCAACCCTTTCGAGGACGACCCCTACCCCTCCTTCCTTCCCCTATAGATTTATATGCTTTCCATGTCATTCTACTTTGATCCATTCTCTCTAAATGACCAAACCACCTCAACAACCCCTCTTCTGCTCTCTGACTAATGCTTTTATTAACTCCACACCTTCTCCTAATTTCCACACTCCGAATTTTCTGCATAATATTTACACCACACATTGCCCTTAGACAGGACATCTCCACTGCCTCCAACCGTCTCCTCGCTGCTGCATTTACCACCCAAGCTTCACATCCATATAAGAGTGTTGGTACTACTATACTTTCATACATTCCCTTCTTTGCCTCCATAGATAACGTTTTTTGACTCCACATATACCTCAACGCACCACTCACCTTTTTTCCCTCATCAATTCTATGATTAACCTCATCCTTCATAAATCCATCTGCCGACACGTCAACTCCCAAGTATCTGAAAACATTCACTTCTTCCATACTCCTCCTCCCCAATTTGATATCCAATTTTTCTTTATCTAAATCATTTGATACCCTCATCACCTTACTCTTTTCTATGTTCACTTTCAACTTTCTACCTTTACACATATTCTCAAACTCATCCACTAACCTTTGCAATTTTTCTTTAGAATCTCCCATAAGCACAGTATCATCAGCAAAAAGTAACTGTGCCAATTCCCATTTTGAATTTGATTCCCCATAATTTAACCCCACCCCTCTCCCGAACACCCTAGCATTTACTTCTTTTACAACCCCATCTATAAAAATATTAAACAACCATGGTGACATTACACATCCCTGTCTAAGACCTACTTTTACCGGGAAGTATTCTCCCTCTCTTCTACACACCCTAACCTGAGCCTCACTATCCTCATAAAAGCTCTTTACAGCATTTAGTAACTTACCACCTATTCCATAAACTTGCAACATCTGCCACATTGCTCCTCTATCCACTCTATCATATGCCTTTTCTAAATCCATAAATGCAATAAAAACTTCCCTATCTTTATCTAAATACTGTTCACATATATGCTTCAATGTAAACACCTGATCTACACATCCCCTACCCACTCTGAAACCTCCTTGCTCATCCGCAATCCTACATTCTGTCTTACCTCTAATTCTTTCAATTATAACCCTACCGTACACTTTCCCTGGTATACTCAGTAAGCTTATTCCTCTATAATTTTTACAGTCTCTTTTGTCCCCTTTCCCTTTATATAAAGGGACTATACATGCTCTCTGCCAATCCCTAGGTACCTTCCCCTCTTTCATACATTTATTAAACAAAAGTACCAACCACTCCAACACTATATCCCCCCCTGCTTTTAACATTTCTGTCATGATCCCATCAGTTCCAGCTGCTTTACCCCCTTTCATTTTATATATATATATATATATATATATATATATATATATATATATTCTTTCTTTCAACACACCGGCCGTATCCCACCGAGGCGGGGTGGCCCAAAAGGAAAAACGAAAGTTTCTCCTTTTACATTTAGTAATATATACAGGAGAAGAGGTTACTAGCCCCTTGCTCCCAGCATTTTAGTCGCCTCTTACAACACGCATGGCTTACGGAGGAAGAATTCTGTTCCACTTCCCCATGGAGATAAGAGGAAATAAACAAGAATAAGAACTAGAAAGAAAATAGAAGAAAACCCAGAGGGGTGTGTATATATGTGCTTGTACATGTATGTGTAGTGTGACCTAAGTGTAAGTAGAAGTAGCAAGACGTACCTGAAATCTTGCATGTTCATGAGACAGAAAAAAGGACACCAGCAATCCTACCATCATGTAAAACAATTACAGGCTTTCGTTTTACACTCACTTGGCAGGACGGTAGTACCTCCCTGGGCGGTTGCTGTCTACCAACCTACTACCTACAATATATATATATATATATATATATATATATATCTATATCCTAGGTAGTAGGTTGGTAAACAGCAACCGCCCAGGGAGGTACTACCGTCCTGCCAAGTGAGTGTAACACGAAAGCCTGTAATTGTTTTACATGATGGTAGGATTGCTGGTGTCCTTTTTTCTGTCTCATGAACATGCAAAATTTCAGGTACGTCTTGCTACTTCTACTTACACTCAGGTCACACTACACATACATGTACAAGCGTATATATACATACCCCTCTGGGTTTTCTTCGATTTTCTTTCTAGTTCTTGTTCTTGTTTATTTCCTCTTATCTCCATGGGGAAGTGGAACAGAATTCTTCCTCCGTAAGCCATGCGTGTTGTAAGAGGCGACTAAAATGCCGGGAGCAAGGGGCTAGTAACCCCTTCTCCTGTATATATTACTAAATTTGAAAGGAGAAACTTTGGTTTTTTCTTTTGGGCCACCCTGCCTCGGTGGGATACGGCCGGTGTGTTGAAAGAAGAAAGAAAGATATATATATCCTAGATAGTAGGTTGGTAAACAGCAACCGCCCAGGGAGGTACTACCGTCCTGCCAAGCGAGTGTAAAACGGAAACCTGTAATTGTTTTACATGATGGTAGGATTGCTGCTGTCCATTTTTCTGTCTCATAAACATGCAAGGTTTCAGGTATGTCTTGCAACTTCTACTTACACTTAGGTCACACTACACATACATGTACAAGCATATATGTATATACACACCCCTCTGGGTTTTCTTCCATTTTTCTTACTAGTTCTTGTTCTTGTTTATTTCCTCTTACCTCCATGGGAAAGTGGAACAGAATTCTTCCTCCGTAAGCCATGCGTGTTGTAAGAGGCGACCAAAATGCCGGGAGCAAGGGGCTAGTAACCACTTCTCCTGCATATATTACTAAATGTAAAAGGAGAAACTTTTGTTTTTCCTTTTGGGCCACCCCGCCTTGGTGTTATACGGCCGGTGTGTTGAAAGAAGAATATATATATATATTTGTACATGCATGTGTAATGTGGCCTAAGTGTAAGCAGAAGTAGCAAGACGTACCTGAAATCTTGCATGTTTATGAGACAGAAAAAAGACCAGCAATCCTACCATCATGTAAAACAATTACAGGCTTCTGTTTCACACTCACTTGGCAGGACGGTAGTACCTCCCTACTACCTAGGTTTACTACAAGTATAAAGAGAAATTTTCAACAGTAACTAAAACAATCCTAGGTAGTAGGTTGGTAGACAGCAACCACCCAGGGAGGTACTACCGTCCTGCCAAGTGAGTGTAAAACAAAAGCCTGTAATTGTTTTACATGATGGTAGGATTGCTGGTGTCTTTTTTTTTTTTTGTCTCATAAACATGCAAGATTTCAGGTACGTCTTACTACTTCTACTTACACTTAGGTCTCACTACACATGCATATACAAGCATATATATACACACCCCTCTGGGGTTTCTTCTATTTTCTTATTAGTTCTTGTTTATTTCCTTGTTTCCATGGGGAAGTGAAACAGAATTCTTCCTCCGTAAGCCATGCGTACTATAAGAGGCGACTAAAATGCCAGGAGCAAGGGGCTAGTAACCCCTCCTCCTGTATATATTACTGAAGTTAAAAAGAGAAACTTTTGCTTTTCTTTATGGGCCACCCTGCCTTGGTGGAATACAGCCGGTTTGTTGAAAGAAGAACTAAAACAATATACAGTACATTACCAATTAACCAGATATTGGTTATTTAGCTTAGGCATTACCTAGCAGTCTAGGTCAATCTGGGACCTAAACAAATAATGAGACAGACATATGCAAAACAAATGGATTATCATAATTGATGTGATCATCCATTGCTGTTGAAATTACAGCGTACCCTTCCCCATAAAAGAGTTCATTATTTGATGATTTAGTGCTTCTTTTTGTTTATAATAATAATAACAACATAATTATTTGATGATCTACTGTATATATAATGTTAAAGAATACACAATGATAAAAAAAAAGTGTTCCCATATTATTCACCTGGAAAGCGGAATGCTTGTTGCTGTGCGGGAGAGGCCGAGATAATCGGAGCAGGACTGGAAGGAGTGGAGGAATTGCAGCTGGAGGTGTTAGAACTAGAGTCTGGACCCTGAAGACAGAAAAAGTTTTGTTATTACTGGCTGACTAATAAGTGTATAGATGAAGCTCAGTCTGCCCCTAAGTAAAAAAAAAAAAAAAATCATTTATCCTTAACAAGCTAGCCAGGGTATGCCAAATCCCTATACAGTGGTACCTTGACTGGACTTATGAGTTTAATTTGTTCCGTGACCGAGCTCATAACTCAATTTGCTCGTATATCAAATCAATTTTCCTCATTGAAATTGATTGAAATGCCATTAATCCATTCCAGCCCCCCAAAAAACACCCCAATTTTTTGTTATGGGTTTTGTTATGGGAGACGGCCGACTTGTTAAAAAAAAAAAAAAAAAAAAATTTATAAACAAGAAATACTGTATTGTATACTCCACCCACCACCTTCACTACTTCACCCACCACCATCTCTACACCACCCACCATTATCACTACTCTATCCATCACCCTCACTACTCCACCCACCACCATCTCTACTCCACCCACCACTATCACTGTTCCACCCACCACTATCACTACTCCACCCACCACCTTCACTACTCCACCCATCACCTTCACTACTACACCCATCACCTTCACTACTACACCCACCACCATCTCTACTCCACCCACCATTATCACTATTCCATTCCATCCACCACCACCACTACTCCACCCACCACTATCACTATTCCACCCACAACTATCACTATTCCACCCACCACTATCACTACTCCACCCACCACCATCACTAATCCACCCACCACCACCACTACTCCACCCACCACCATCACTACTCCACCTACCTTAATGTTTCTGGAAAAACTCTAGACTGTTGAAATGGGGGTTACCTCTTCCCTGGATTTATACGAGAACCAAACAAGGGACGAGGTGCCTCACTACAATCTGGGATGAGTGTGGGAGTATTATCCTTCCAGTTATGTGTTGGAAGAGCATGTGGGATGGGACGAAGTACCTGACATTCCTCTGGGTACAGAGTTGGATTTGACTTCACATATGCCGCCAACTAGTGGCGGCGTATCTGAAGCTCTCTTGTAACTCGGATTTTGGCTCGCAACTCAAAGCAAAAAATCGACGGAGCAACGGCTCGTAACTCGGAAAACTCGTAAGTTGGGGCACTCGTAAGTCAAGGTACCACTGTACAATGATATTAATGCCCTACAGGAGTAATAGAGTAAAACTAAAAAAAAATTAAGGACAAAAAGTGTCAGTGGGTAAGATGAGAAGTGAAAGTGAATAAATTTAAGAAGATGGTTGGTGAGAGGTATGAGCAACTGTTTAAAGAAAGGCTGGTTAGTGAGAAAATGTAATGATACCATCACCACAGCCACGAGTGGAGACCAGAAAGCAAAGGCAAACTAGGTCACAAATGAGTACTTACGACTGTGCCAAGTTAGAAGGAGAAGGTATTAGATGGGAATTGGTTTGATAAACAGTACAGTAATTCTAACTGGGTCCCTCCCAAGGATGCACAGCAGTTACAAGTAAAAGGGGTGAGATAGTAGATATGGAGATGGGTGGATATAATATTACAAAAAGTTGTGATATACATATGATAGAGTGGAGGAAGCGATTCCAATCATGGAGCAGAAAGGAAGGGGATTTGTGACAAAGCGAGAAGTATCCTATGTGAGAATGGAAGAGCTGAATGAGGCAGTAAACATGTTGAAAGTGGAGAAGAATAGGAATGGATGGAATTAATGCTGAAATGCTGATATAAATTATATCATGAGGTGCATCATTTGAACCTGCTAAGATTTATATGTACTAATAAGCTCCAGCCAACTTGCAACATGGTAGTATAATTACTGTATGTCCTGTCCAGTTCGACCCTTTCAGGGTCGAGAGGCCCTCTCCTAAACCCGTTCTCAAGGTCGAAAATTTCTCAGAAAAAAAAAAAAAAAAAAAAAAATCTTATGAAATGATAAAGAATCTTTTCCCAATCATAATGACACCAAAAGTATGAAATTTGATGGAAAACTTACGGAATTATGCTCTCGTGAAGTTAGTGGTCTCGACAATGTTTACCCATCGGAGATTTCACCCACTTTGAGCCCTATTTTCGGCCAATTTCAATGTACTAATCGACAAAAATCTTATCTATTTTGCTAGAAATCCATTTTTTCTATCGAATGAGTACAAGAAACCACCCATTTACCGATTTCAACTATCCAATACAGTGGTCAGAAACTGGCAATTTTGCCAATTTCACACAAATTTCAGAATATGCCAATTTCCAAATAGAACATAAGAACATAAGAACATAAGAACGAAGGAACACTGCAGAAGGCCTACTGGCCCATGCGAGGCAGGTCCAAGTCTCCTACCGGCTTAAGCCAATGCACCCAACCTAGTCAGGTCAGGTCACATTGACTTAAGGGAGGAACACGGCAACCGACCTGGTAGCACAAGCTATCAGGTCTAACTCACACCCACCCACATCCACTCATGTATTTATCCAACCTATTTTTAAAGCTACACAACGTTCTGGCCTCTATAACGGTACTTGGGAGTTTGTTCCACTCATCCACAACTCTATTACCAAACCAGTACTTTCCTATATCCTTCCTGAATCTGAATTTTTCCAACTTAAAACCATTGCTGCGAGTCCTGTCTAGGCTAGATATTTTCAGCACACTATTTACATCCCCTTTATTTATTCCTGTCTTCCATTTATACACCTCAATCATATCCCCCCTAATTCTACGTCTTTCTAGAGAGTGCAGATTCAGGGCCCTTAGTCTATCCTCATAGGGAAGGTTTCTGATACATGGGATCAACTTTGTCATCCTCCTTTGTACATTTTCCAGAGAATTTATATCCATTCTGTAATAAGGTGACCAAAACTGTGCAGCATAATCTAAATGAGGCCTAACCAAGGATGTATAGAGTTGAAGAACAACCTGAGGACTCCTATTATTTATGCTTCTTGATATGAAGCCAAGGATTCTATTAGCTTTATTGCGAACACTTATGCACTGTTGTCTTGGTTTCAGATTACTGCTAACCAGAACTCCTAAATCTTTTTCGCAATCCGTAATATTAAGATCTACATTATTTAGTTTATATGTGGCATGGTTATTGTCCTGTCCAACATTAAAACTTTGCATTTGTCTATATTAAACTGCATCTGCCACTTCTCCGACCACTGCATCAGTCTATTCAAATCTTCCTGGAGTGCTCGAATGTCCTCGTCAGGGTCCAGAATAAGCAAGACAGACATTCCTGGCACTAAAATGACATTTTCTCTGTTCATTAGTCATGTCCCCAGGCCCCTCTTACATCTCTCTTGCTTTCCACTTTGACTTTTTATTCTCACAAAAAAATAGAAGATTTACTGTTATGCAGACTACTGCATTAGTGTAGAAATGGTATAAATAATATCAGCACACTTGTGAAAGAATATTAGACTCACCAGTTGATGTGTATTGAACGCTTGGCAGGATTTGTTTACTCTTGAAATTTGGTAAAAATCGAACATTTCTGCAACTTTGAGCTCAAGTTTAAGGTACTTTTCATTATGAAACCAATCAAAATCATCCCAATTTCTGTAATATGTCTTCCATTCTATAAAATGAGACCAGGAAAACTAGAATACAACAATAAATACCATACGAAAATACACTGCAAAGTCGCTGTTTTAAACCAAAAACATGGTCGGAGTTTTTTTTATTATTATGCACTGTGTGCTGCAGGATTTTTTTTATACTGTGCACACTGACCATATAGACCCATTCTTTCATATGTACCACCTCTCTTACTAGATCTGAAGGCGCTAGAATTTAGACGTTCTAGTACGTCAATAACCCTGGTGCGTAAGCCGTACTAGTACGTCAGAAACCCTGAAAGGGTTAATTAATAATTAAGAGGATTTCCAATCTTAAACAATTTTGTAGATGTTTTGCCCTTTTAACCAAGAAGATATGTAAACTGTGAGTGACAAACATCGATATTTGCTAGTAATGTGAACAACTTTTTTGCTGAACACATTAACCATCTCCCAAGGTAGAGAGACAACCCCCCCCCCCCCCCAAAAAAAAAAATCATTCATTCAATAGCTGTCTTGCCAGAAGTGCAAAGAGATCACAATTCAAATGACTCTCCATCAGAGTGCAGACACTCTGGTTAACCAGTTTACCTGAATCCTTTTAAATGGCTTAATACAAATATAAAATTGCCAGCTAGCAAAAAATTTTATTTAAATTGGTATTTGAAACTGTAGGTTTAACAGTTTTTGTACTAAACATAATCCTCTTTATTACCCTAGATTTGCAAAATTTTAGATTACCCCAAATTTTACTCCAAGGAAGATCTAATTATCCTCAAATAGTTTATTTTACCCTAGTGGAAACACTGGAGCCTGTTTGAGAAAAAACAAAACCCAAGTGTGCTATGCCATCCCTCGTCACCAACTGGTGCCTTAGGCAGCCTATACCACTTATACCCAGGACTGCCACTAAACATAACTCTGGTTTCTCTTACCTGGAAGGATGGTATGTTAATGGACGGCTGGGAGTAGGACTTAGAGCTGTTCTGTAATGGAGGGGAGAATACATCGTTGAGATGAGAGTGAGGGATACCCGGGGTCCCTCGGATGGGAAGCCCACTGCCCCCGTCCATACCACCCTTCTTCAGAGTCTAAAAGAGAATGTATATATTAAATTTTTCATTGAATCCTAAAGGATATCAGCAGTTAAAAATAAAAACAGATATTCAAAGTAGTAGTTCCCTCAGTCTATAGCATTAATGACAACTGAAGGTGATGATGTGGAATATATATTCAGCAGTAGCAATTCAGATGTTTACTTTAAATGTTATCATACCACGTTAAAATATCAGCATCATTAAAAAAATTATATTATTATTATTATTATTATTATCACACTGGCCGATTCCCACCAAGGCAGGGTGGCCCGAAAAAGAAAAACTTTCACCATCATTCACTCCATCACTGTCTTGCCAGAAGGGTGCTTTACACTACAGTTTTTAAACTGCAACATTAACACCCCTCCTTCAGAGTGCAGGCACTGTACTTCCCATCTCCAGGACTCAAGTCCGGCCTGCCGGTTTCCCTCAACCCCTTCATAAATGTTACTTTGCTCACACTCCAACAGCACGTCAAGTATTAAAAACCATTTGTCTCCATTCACTCCTATCAAACACGCTCACGCATGCCTGCTGGAAGTCCAAGCCCCTCGCACACAAAACCTCCTTTACCCCCTCCCTCCAACCTATCCTAGGCCGACCCCTACCCCGCCTTCCTTCCACTACAGACTGATACACTCTTGAAGTCATTCTGTTTCGCTCCATTCTCTCTACATGTCCGAACCACCTCAACAACCCTTCCTCAGCCCTCTGGACAACAGTTTTGGTAATCCCGCACCTCCTCCTAACTTCCAAACTACGAATTCTCTGCATTATATTCACACCACACATTGCCCTCAGACATGACATCTCCACTGCCTCCAGCCTTCTCCTCGCTGCAACATTCATCACCCATGCTTCACACCCATATAAGAGCGTTGGTAAAACTATACTCTCATACATTCCCCTCTTTGCCTCCAAGGACAAAGTTCTTTGTCTCCACAGACTCCTAAGTGCACCACTCACCCTTTTCCCCTCATTAATTCTATAATTCATCTCATCTTTCATAGACCCATCCGCTGACACGTCCACTCCCAAATATCTGAATACATTCACCTCCTCCATACTCTCTCCCTCCAATCTGATATCCAATCTTTCATCACCTAATCTTTTTGTTATCCTCATAACCTTACTCTTTCCTGTATTCACTTTTAATTTTCCTCTTTTGAATACCCTACCAAATTCATCCACCAATCTCTGCAACTTCTCTTCAGAATCTCCCAAGAGCACAGTGTCATCAGCAAAGAGCAACTGTGACAACTCCCACTTTGTGTGGGAATGCAATGTAAAAATGTAAAAAGACTCCCAAAAAAGTTCCCTGAGATTCCTATAGTCACCCCTGTAATTAGGGATGTTTAGAGCATCCTTTCCAGCTCATGTAATGACAGCAAAAATCAACATATCAGAATCAGAAGTACAACTCACATCAGTGAAGATCTGAAGATATGCATGAGGTAAACCACAGGATGGTGGCACCTTTGGTTCACATTCACGATGACATTTAAAGCTGCATTCTTTGCACTTTAAACCTGGGGAGTAAATTGAGTAATAATTTAGTTCTAATCTACATCTAATTGGACAATGATTCAGTGAGAATTTTCAAATACAGCAGTCCCTCGATAATTGTCGGGCTCGATAGCCATCCTTTTCAGAAATCATCACGTTATTTTAGTCCAAACATTGGCTCGCAAATGGTCAGTTGACTTGCTAATCATCATTTGTCCTGGACACGTACTCACGGCTCTGAGCTGCCTCAGCCTCCCTTCCCAGCCAGTGTGCCATTGTTTACCAGTGAACGATGGTCCCCTCACTTGTTCATACGAAATATTTCATAATATTCCATTCATTTTAGTGCTTGTAAGTGCTAAATAAGCTACCATGGCTCCAAAGAAAGCTCCTAGTGCCAAGCCTTTGGTAAAGGTGAGAAATATGATTGAATTTAAGAAAAACATCATTGAACAATATGAATGTGGTATACGTGTGGCCAAACTGGCCAGGATGTATAACAAATCCCGTTGTACAACCATATCTTCCATCGTGGCCAAGAAAAAGGAAATCAAGGAAGCTGTTGTTGCAAAGGGGGTAAATATTCTGACAAAAATGAGATCACCAGTACTCGAAGAGGTTGAGAAGTTATTATTGGTGTGGATAAACGAGAAACCTAGGTAGTAGATTGGTAGACAGCAACCACCCAGGGAGGTACTACCGTCCTGCCAAGCGAGTGTAAAACAAAAGCCTGTAATTGTTTTACACGATGGTAGGATTGCTGGTGTCCTTTCTTCTGTCTCATGAACATGCAAGATTTCAGGTACGTCTTGCTACTTCTACTTACACTTAGGTCACACTACACATACATGTACAAGCATATATATACACACCCCTCTGGGTTTTCTGCTATTTTCTTTCTAGTTCTTGTTCTTGTTTATTTCCTCTTATCTCCATGGGGAAGTGGAACAGAATTCTTCCTCCGTAAGCCATGCGTGTTGTAAGAGGCGACTAAAATGCCGGGAGCAAGGGGCTAGTAACCCCTTCTCCTGTATAAATTACTAAATTTAAAAAGAGAAACTTTTGTTTTTCTTTTTGGGCCACCCTGCCTCGGTGGGATATGGCCGGTTTGTTGAAAAAAAAAAAAAAAATAAACGAGAAACAATTAGCAGGAGATAGTCTTATGAAAAGGCTAGGCAGTTGCATGACAATCTGGTAAAGAAATTGCCTGCAACGAGTACTGATATTTGTGAATTTAAGGCCAGCAAAGGTTGGTTTGAGATTTAAGAACCGTAGTGGCATACACAGTGTGATAAGGCATGGTGAGGCTGCCAGTTCGGACAAAATTGCAGCTACAAAATTCGTAAGTGAATTCAAGGAGTACATAGAGGCTGAAGGACTGAAACCTGAACAAGTGTTCAATTGTGACGAAACAGGCCTCTTTTGGAAGAAAATGCCAAAGAGGACCTACATTACTCAGGAGGAAAAGGGAATGCTAAGACACAAGCCTATGAAAGACAGGCTGACGCTCATGTTCTGTGCTAATGCTAGTGGGGATTTCAAAGTGAAGCCGTTACTAGTGTACCATTCTGAAAACCCCAGAGTGTTCAGGAAAAACAATGTTATGAAGAGTAAACTGTGTGTGTTTTGGAGATCTAATAATAAGGCATGGGCCACGAGGGAAATTTTCGTCGAGTGGTTCAATGAAGTGTTTGGCTCTAGTGTGAAGAATTACCTCCTGGAAAAGAAATTGGATCTCAAGTGCCTCCTAGTAATGGGCAATGCACCTGCTCATCCTCCAAACTTCAATGACCTAATTCTGCAGGAGTTTGGGTTCATCACAGTAAAGTTCTTGCCCCCGAATACCACTCTCTCCTCCAGCCCATGGTCCAGCAGGTCATTTCAACTTTAAAAAACTCTACACCAAAGCAATGTTTCAAAGGTGCTTTAATGTGACCTCAGACACTCACTTGACCCTAAGAGAGTTTTGGAAAGAACACTTCAGTATCCTCCATTGCATAAGCCTTATAGGTAAGACTTGCTTGGAGAAAATTGTGGTCAGATTGTGTCCACAAGAGGGATTTTGAAGGGTTTGTGGCTGACCCTGATGAGCCTATGTCAGTTGTGAACTCTATTGTGGCATTGGGGAGTTCCATGGGGTTGGATGTGAGTTTGGAGGATGTGGAAGAGTTGGTGGAGGACCACAACGAAGAGCTAACCACTGAGGAGCTGCAAGAACTTTAGCAGGAACAGCAACAGATCGCAACTCAGAATTTTGCTGCAGAGGAGAAGGAAGAGAGATGAAAAAAGGTGCCTTCTTCAGAAATAAAGGAGACTTTTGAAATGTGGGGTAGGATGGAAAGATTTATGGAGAAACATCACCCTGAGAAGGATGTTGCAAGCCATATCGGCAACTTGTACAGTGATAGAGTCTTGGTCCATTTTAGGGAAGTTTTAAAGATATGCCAGAAACAGAGCTCTCTGGACACTTTTTTTGAGAGACAGGACTCCAGTGACTCTCAAGCTGGTCCTAGTGACATAAAGAAACAGAGAAAAGAAGTAACCCCAGAAAAGGACTTGTTACCTGAGGTGTTGATGGAAAGGATTCCACTTCCAAACAGTAACTAATCCAATCTCTCTCCTCCTCCAGTCTTCCATACACTAAGAAGAATCGCCAATAAAGGTAAGTGTTATGCTGTTAATGTTTCATTCATCATGTCCCATTGTATTGTTTATGCACCACATCTATATTTCACGTAAAAAAATTTTTTCTTTTAATACTTCTGGGTGTCAGGAACGGATTAATTGTATTTACATTATTTCTTATGGGGAAAATTTATTTGAAAATCGTCTATTTCGATAATCGTCGCACTTCCAGGAACAGATTAACGACGATAAACGAGGGACCACTGTAATTGCATGTTTAACGTACTTTCTTAATTACTACTAATGAACTAAATAAACTTCAGCTTTTGTCATTCTCACTTTGTTTACCAGTATGTACTGTATATCAAATATACAAGAGTCCACAAGCTAAGCCTATTTATGCTAACAAATGTTCATATTCATGTTGAGGAACATAATAAGAGAAAATAATAATAATCATAATCATAGAAAAGATGTAGAAACGTTTGTTACAAAACAACTCTGGACAGTCAAATATCATTTATTACCACTCAGAATAGTAAATTTGTGATGGCAATAGCCACAGGTTGCAGATTTAATGGTCTTCATAAAGCGATGCTGCACGTTGTGGACCATGGAGCCGGGTAAAGTTGGAGTACGTGGTGACTTTGGAACCCCAAGAGTACCTATAAATAAAAGTATGAAAAAAGTCATAATTAATATAAACATAGTGTAACTTTTATTACATTCAAATATTTGTTTTGGTCCCTAAAAAAATAAATTAGATTTTCATTCATTTCAATATCATACAGTATCCTAACTACACATTACTGTAATCTTAATTTTCATCAATGAATGACAGCTGAAGAACTAATAGGTTTTGTTCTATAGTTCCACACAAGTTTGGGACATAGCTACATACTAAGAAATAAAACTAGTCACACATGAAAAGATGAGAAAAACTGCAAGCAATTTTTATACTAATAGTTCAAGATGTAGTGAAAAAAGTCAACAAACTTTAATAAGAATTAGCTTTGTTTCATTTACTACTACTACTACTACTACTACAACAACAACTACAACAACAACAACTACTACAACAACTACAACTACAACTACTACAACTACTACAACAACTACTACAACAACTACTACAACTACAACAACAACTACAACAACAACTACAACAACAACAACAACTACAACAACTACAACATCAACTACAACAACAACTACAACAACAACAACTACAACAACTACAACAACAACTACAACAACACAACAACTACAGCAACAACTACAGCAACAACAAAACACAACTACAACAACTACAACTACAACAACTACAACAACAACAAATCTAATTTATCTCTTCTTCTATATTATTTCTGTCATTCATTCATTTTCAATTCCTGGTGATCACAACACAATAAAGAATTCCAACTAGATGTATTTCATTTACCATACAACAAAAAAGGTATTTTCTGCCCCTTATAACTCCAGCCCCAATATTCCTAGGGCTGTAGCTCAACAGCCTCCAGTAGCTGTACCTCAACACCAATAAAAGGTCCAAGAGCTGTATCTCTATACTATCAAAATGATCAATGCTGGTCAACACTCTAAGGAGGCTCCACGGTTGTAATAGGCACATAAAAATGGGACAGTAGACAAACACCCTTAAAAAGAGCTGAACTTAACACAGCCAAACACTGAAGCAATTAGAAGATATTCTCAAAAGACAGCTTGAACTCACCCATCACACAATGCTAAAATACCAGATAAATTGGACAAGTCACCGTGAATATTAAATGACCTTCCAGGCCTCTTTTCTCTTCTGTCTTACCAATATTTAATATAAAAATTTTAAATTTTAAAACATTTCTCTTCTGTTCTACCTCACTAATGACTAGGATAAAAAATTTTTTACTAATGTATCCTATTACAGCACAATAACACCTTGATTTAACAGGCCTCAATTTAACAGATTTTAGATTTAACAGACAAAACCCACTGGGTAACTGGATTTTGGAAACAACAGACACAATCTATAGTTTACAGAATTATTCATTTTCTTATGATCTGCCAAGCAAAGCAATTTTGGAAAAAGTCCATCAGTTACAGAATGGTCTGTTGTCATCAGCACTTTTAAGTGACCAACAAGCAGTGACTCTTACTGAATGCATGCATTCGTAGGTAGAGTCTTTATTCATTCTTCCTTAACCCTAGGATTTATATTAATATTTATCTTCATTTTGTTATAACAAAGTACTACTGTACATTTGGATTAACAAATTGCTAGGCAAGTGGTGACTCCAAGACAATCCAACTGAATTTTAATATTAGTTATTAGTCAGAAACTGAAAGTTGGAGTCTGGTGTGTCAGTGTCCCACATGTATGAAAAAAAATAGAGTTCGATATCTATAAGACAAAGGATGAATTCATATCATTTGCTCTAAAATTTATTGCACTGTAAATGCTACCAGAAAAAATCATTAGCTGGTGCTAGGAAGTAAATAAGCATGGCACAGATAAGGAATCATGAAGCAGTGTATAAATAGCATGTTCAGGAGAATTCATTTCGTGTTAACATTCAAAGTAATGATCATCATTCTGCTGGTAACATGATAACATTACTGAACACCCTCTCTTCCCTATTAGTTTGTTCAAATGATGTCACTTTCCTCTACTGTGATATTAATACAATATACCATCTCCTACCGAGGAAGGGTGACCCAAAAAAGAAGAAACACTTTCATCATCACTCACTCCATCATTGTCTTGCCAGAGGAGTGCCAATAATAGTTTTGATGCCCCTCCCAAACTTCAACATCCCCATCACTCCTTCAGGATGCAGACACTGTACTTCCCATCTCCAGGATTCCTGTCTGGCCAACTGGTTATCTTGAATCCCTTCATAAATGTTATCTTGCTCACATTCCAACAGCATGTCGAGTCATAAAAACCACTTGCCTCCACTCACTTCTATTTAACACACATGCCCCTTGGATGTCCAAGCCTCGCACACAAAACTTCCATTGCCCCATCCCTCCCAATTTTCCTAGGACAATCCCTTTTCCCCCTTCCCTCTACTACAGATTTATATACCCTTCAAGTCATACTAATTTGCTCTATCCTCTCTAAATGTCCGAACCACCTCAGTAACTCCTCATCCTTTTAGATAATATTTTTAGTAACCCCACACCTCCTCCTAATCTCCAAACTATGAATTCTCTGCATAGTATTCAAACCACATACTGCCCCCAAACACGACATCTTCACTGCTGCCAGCCTCCTTGCTGCAACTTTCACAATCCATGCTTTACACCCATATTGGTACTCCTATACTCTTAAACATAACCCTTTTGGCATCCATTTTTTTTTTCAATAAGTCAGCCATCTCCCCCAAGGCAGGGTGACCCAAAAAGAAAGAAAATTGCCAAAAAGAAAATACTTTCATCATCATTCAACACTTTCACTTCACTCACACATAATCACTGTCTTTGCAGAGGTGCCCAGATACAAGAGTTTAGAGGCACATTTTTTACTTTATTTTTATTAACACATCAGCCGATTCCCACCAAGGCAGGGTGGCCCGAAAAAGAAAAACTTTCATCAGCATTAACTCCATCACTGTCTTTGCCAGAGGGATGCTTTACACTACAGTTATAAAACTGCAACACCCCTCCTTCAGAGTGTAGACACTGTACTTCCCATCTCCAGGACTTGAAGTCCGCCCTGCCGGTTTCCCTGAATCCTTTCATAAATGTTACTTTGCTCACACTCCAACAGTACATCAAGTATTAAAAACCATTTGTCTCCATTCACTCCTATCAAATACGCTCACACACGCTTGCTGGAAATCCAAGCTCCTCGTACACAAAACCTCCTTTACCCCCTCCCTCCAACCCTTCCTAGGCCGATCCCTACCCTGCCTTCCCTCCACTACAGATTTATACACTCTCGAAGACATTTTGTTTTGTTCTATTCTCTCTACATGTCCAAACCACCTCAACAACCCCTCCTCAGCCCTCTGGATAATAGTTTTGGTAATCCCACACCTTCTCCTAATTTCCAAACTACGAATTCTCTGCATGAATATAATGCAGAGGCATTATATTCACGCAGCAAGGAGGCTGTTGGAGGCAATGGAGATGTCCTGTCTAACGGCAATGTGTGGTGTAAATATTATGCAGAGAATTCAGAGTGTGGAAATTAGGAGAAAGTGTGGAGTTATTAAAAGTATTCGTCAGAGGGCTGAAGAGGGGATGTTGAAGTGGTCTGGTCATTTAGAGAGAATGGATCAAAGTAGAATGACATGGAGAGCGTATAAATCTGCAGGGGAAGGAAGGCGGGGTAGGGGTCGTCCTTGAAAAGGTTGGAGGGAGGGGGTGAAGGAGGTTTTGTGGGTGAGGGGCTTGGACTTCCAGCAAGTGTGCATGAGCGTGTTCGATAGAAGTGAATGGAGATGAATGGTTTTTGGGACCTGACGAGCAGTTGGAGCAAGAGCAGGGTAATATTTAGTGAAGAGATTCAGGGAAACCGGTTATTTTTATACAGCTGGACTTGATAGGAGTGAATGGAGACGAATGGTTTTTAATACTTGACGTGCTGTTGGAGTGTGAGCAAAGTAACATTTATGAAGGGGTTCAGGGAAACCGGCAGGCTGGACTTGAGTCCTGGAGATGGGAAGTACAGTGCCTGCACTCTGAAGGAGGGGTGTTAATGTTGCAGTTTAAAAACTGTAGTGTAAAGCACCCTTCTGGCAAGACAGTGATGGAGTGAATGATGGTGAAAGTTTTTCTTTTTTGGGCCACCCTGCTTTGGTGGGAATCGGCCAGTGTGATAATAAAAAAAAAAATAAAAAGGAAGTACAATGCCTGTACTTTCAAGGAGAGGCTTGGGATATTGGCAGTTTGAAGGGATATGTTATATATCTTTATATATGCTTCTAAACTGTTGTATCAGGGCACCTCTGCAAAAACAGTGATTATGTGTGAATGAGGTGAAAGTGTTGAATGATGATGAAAGTATTTTCTTTTTGTGGATTTTCTTTCTATTTGGGTCACCCTGCCTCAGTGGGAGACGGCCGACTTGTTGAGAAACAAAAAAAAAAAAAAATTCAAACTGCCAATATCCCAAACCCCTCCTTTAAAGTGCAGGCATTTTACTTCCCAATAATGATTTCGATAGCCATTTCTGCAACTTGGCTAGTTTGTCTCCATATATAATGTTATTTGTCTCCATAGATGCCTTAAACTAGCATCACCCACCTTTTTCCCTTCATCAATTTTACAGTTCATCCCCTCCTTCACAGACCCATCTGTTGCCAGGTCCACTCGCACACAATCACTTCCTCCATACTCCCTCCCTATAATCTAATAGTCAGTCTTTCATTGCCTGAATTTTGTTACCCTCAAAACCTTGCTCTTTCCTCTAGTCACTTTTAATTTTCTGTTTACATACCCTTCCTAATTCTTCTACCAATCTTTACAACTTTTCTTCAGATACTCCCAAAAGCACTGTGTCACTGGCAAAAAAGCAACTTTGACAACTCTCACTTTTTATTAGATTCTTTATCTTTTAATCCCACACCTCTCCCCAACACCCTGACTTTCACTTGTACAACCCCTGTCTATATGTTAAACAACCATGGTGGCATCAGGCATTCCTGTCTAAAGCTCCTTTTACTAGAAAATAATCTCTCTCTCTCTCCTATATACCCTAATCTGAGCCTCACTATCCTTATAAAAACTCTTCACTGCTGTAAGTAGCCTATCACCTATTCTATACACTTGCAATATCTAAAACACTGCTCTACTATCCACCTTATATGCCTTTTCTAAATCCATAAATGTAACAAAAGCTTCCTTACTCTTATCTAAATACTGTTCACTTATATGATTCAATGTAAACATTTGGTCTACACATCCCCTACCCATTCTAATACCTCCTTGTTCATCTGAAATCCTGCTTTCCATCTTAACCTGAACTCTAGTAATAACAACTCTGCCATACACTTTACCAGTTATACTCAACATTTTTTTATTAACACACTGGCTGTCTCCCACAAAGGCAGGGTGATCCGAAAAAGAAACACTTTTATCCTTATTCACACTATTACTGTCTTGCCAGAGGAACTATCCACACACTCTGCCAATTCCCAGGTAACTTCCCCCTTTCATACATTTATTGAAAAGCACCAACCACTCCAAAACTATATCTCCACCTGCTTTTAACATGTTCATCCTGGACCCATCAATCCCAGCTGCTTTTTTCCCTTTCATTTTACCCACTGCCCTATGTACCTCCCCTACACTCAAACCTGGCTCTTCCTCACTCCTAAAAGATGTTATACCTCCCTGTCCAATAAATGAAGTCACTGCCTCCCTTTCTTCATCAGTATTTAACAGTTCCTCAAAATATTACCTCCATCTCCCCAATGCCTCCACTTCCCCATCTAATAACTCCCCTCTTTTGATTTTAACTGTTCAATCCATTCATTCCCTAGACTTTCTCATCTTATTAATCTCACTCCAAAACTTTTATTGACAGAACTTTACTTTTTCATTTACTCTCCTTTTGTAATAAAGTTGGTAGAATTACCGACAATATGTAAAGTAAAAGGACACAAGTGCAACTAATGTGACATTTTATTGTGGCAACGTTTCGCTCTCCAGGAGCTTTATCAAGCTCCTGGAGAGCGAAACGTTGCCACAATAATATGTCACATTAGTTGCACTTGTGTCCTTTTACTTTACATACTCTCCTTTTACACTCCCTCACCACTCTCTTAACCTCTCTTATGCTCCATATACTCCTTCCTCCTTATACAACTTCTGCTTTGTAAAAGCCTCTCATATGCTAACTTTTTCTCTCTTCCACTCTTTTTACCTCATCATTCCACTAATCACTCCTCTTCCCTTCTGCAGTCACCCTCCTATATTCACATAAACTTCTGCTGCCCACTCTAACACTACATAAATATATGTACAGTAAAACCCCCATATCCACTGATTCAGTATCTGCAGTTTCAGTTATCTATGGTTTACTGTGGCCCAGAAATACCTCTTAATTTTGTATAATAATAATGGTTCCAAAGCACAAAAGTAGAAAAGCTGGCTGTTCTTCAAAGCCCAAGAGAAGCCGTGAAGTGCTTCCCATCAGTGAAAAAGTGATAATTCTCCACTTGTGTATAATTTATCAATAGAGTAAGATGATGAGGGTATCAAATGATTTAGATAAAGAAAAATTGGATATCAAATTGGGGAGGAGGAGTATGGAAGAAGTGAATGTTTTCAGATACTTGGGAGTTGACATGTTGGCGGATGGATTTATGAAGGATGAGGCTAATCATAGAATTGATGAGGGAAAAAAGGTGAGTGGTGCGTTGAGGTATATGTGGAGTCAAAAAATGTTATCTATGGAGGCAAAGAAGGGAATGTATGAAAGTATAGTAGTACCAACACTCTTATATGGATGTGAAGCTTGGGTGGTAAATGCAGCAGCGAGGAGACGGTTGGAGGCAGTGGAGATGTCCTGTCTAAGGGCAATGTGTGGTGTAAATATTATGCAGAAAATTCGGAGTGTGGAAATTAGGAGAAGGTGTGGAGTTAATAAAAGCATTAGTCAGAAGGCAGAAGAGGGGTTGTTGAGGTGGTTTGGTCATTTAGAGAGAATGGATCAAAGTAGAATGACATGGAAAGCATATAAATCTATAGGGGAGGAAGGAGGGGTAGGGGTCGTCCTCGAAAGGGTTGGAAAGAGGGGGTAAAGGAGGTTTTGTGGGCAAGGGGCTTGGACTTCCAGCAAGCGTGCATGAGCGTGTTAGATAGGAGTGAATGGAGACGAATGATACTTGGGACCTGACGATCTGTTGGAGTGTGAGCAGGGTAATATTTAGTGAAGGGATTCAGGGAAACCGGTTATTTTCATATAGTCGAACTTGAGTCCTGGAAATGGGAAGTACAATGCCTGCACTTTAAAGGAGGTGTTTGGGATATTGGCAGTTTGGAGGGATATGTTGTATATCTTTATACGTATATGCTTCTAAACTGTTGTATTCTGAGCACCTCTGCAAAAGCAGTGATAATGTGTGAGTGTGGTGAAAGTGTTGAATGATGATGAAAGTATTTTCTTTTTGGGGACTTTCTTTCTTTTTTGGGTCACCCTGCCTCGGTGGGAGACGGCCGACTTGTTGAAAAAAAAAAAAAAAATAGGTAAATACTGTATAGGGCTTATATATAGGGTCTGCTACTAACCACAGTTTTGGTATCCACAGCAGATCCTTGGAACATATCCCCAAGGATACAAAAGTCCTACTGTATTTCTTTTAAATAAGTGAGGTTTAATTCCTAGGGCTAACAAATAAAAATCACTAGATCACTTACTCTTGTTTGTGTAGTTCTCCTCCTCGGCAGGATCTGCATAGTTCGGAGATTTAATTGGACTGGCCAAAGTAGAAGGTGCAGGTGAATTCTGGGCTGTCCTGAGTTCTCGAACATCAGTCCTGCTCCTACTTCCATCGGTTTTCTTGCCAGTATTATCTCCTGTTGCTGATGCTTCAGACTCGGAGTGAAGGCGGGTACGTCTTGTAGCCAACTGTTCCATGCTGCCGCCAAGCCAAAAATTATTCAATTTTCTTCTTAATAAGAAATGACTATAATAAATTTATAGCAGAAGCAGAATAATGATGGCAGCATCAATATATTGCATTTCAGCGCAAAAATGAAGTGAAGCAGAAGGCAGAGTAATATAAATCATATAATTTATTCCAAACAAAAGCAAGGTGCAAATACAGGTCATGAATTAAAAGGCCCCATCCCAATTATGAGATTGAATTAAGATATGGTATAAAATGCCAACAGTGGCCAGAACATATTCAGGTGGATATTTCCCAGTCGTAGAAGGATTGGTATCGTAGAGGCAGGTGTAGGCACACGATGCCCATATGAACGCAGAGCAGCAGCATGTCACACACAGGAAGGCAGGCAGGTGGCGACAGCAGTCAGCATAACAAAGGCAAAAACACAAAACTAAGCTACTAAACAAGACTTAAATGTAGTAACTTAAATAGTTACTTTAGTAAATAATAAACAAAAGTTTCTCCACCAAAGTACAGTATACAATTATCATGAAGCAAACTGTGGCATGCATGTAGCATTAATACCATAATTTATAAATCCATTTGCACTCTAATCTAATAAACTCCACATTACAACAAATCATGATGCTAATTTTCCCCAAAACCCAACAGGTATAGCCACATGTCAATAGAAATATTTTACTTATTCAAATAATATCACATATTTACAAAATGCTTTCAAAAGCTAAACTGCCCATTCTGTGCAATATTGTTAGTATGTGACTGTGCATTGGTTTGTACTAAATGCATATACAGTATATAATAAAGTAACATTTATTCACCAAATACCTTGTGTACAGACCTCTTAGTGACTGAAAATATACTAATTCTTTATTGCACAACACATTTGTAGTTTATAACTGATTCAATTGTCTCATATTTTGATTTACATTTTATTTATAATGAAATAAATCTGTGGATTGTTGTGCAATGCAGTGTCAATGTATCTTAAAATATAGACAAACAATAAATTCTTTCATCAACAAAAAGTAGGATGAAAAGATGTACTGCTGGCAAGTATGAAAACAGATACAAGTCACAGTACAAGGTCTTATTGGGGCACAATATTACTATGTAGAGCTTTATGATAAAGCTCCTTATTTTCCCAAAAAAAATTGTTCTGTAACTTGTCGTCTTCATTCAACCAAAATAAACTCAACATATTCTGCATCTGCATTCCTAAACAATGCTTAATTATCAAGATTATTTAAATGCACATAATATATGGATGTTTATAATCTTTGGTAATTCATTAATCACCTACACTGAAGTTCTGACTATCTCAATATTTTCAAAAAAAAAATGATACTTGTATTTCATCTACAAGTTCATTCATTTTCTTATTCATCTTACGAGGAGATACAACACCTGTATATCATAACGGCTAAATGCGCTAAAATATTATTAGGCTTTGATCAGCCTACCTATAGGTTGCATGATTATCCTTACTTGTACTACCCACTTGTGACAGTCATACTGAGGACTTAGGTCAAGATAGGGAAAAAGATGGCCAGAAGCCTTAGTGCCTCAAGTCCAAACTTTGCAGCCTAGTGAATACACAGAACAAAGATCACATATACACTCTTTCCATTGCTGTGTGCCACAGAATTACCACGATGACATTGTCAACATGTTTGCTGCCATTTATCTCTACTCTATTTTTATGAACCTCTATAAAGAAATATGCCCACTTTCTACAGAATTTATTGCTAAAAGCATGTGTAACCGCTGGTGAACTAGAGCATCAGCCCATGTACCAATATTGTTTGCACGGCTCCATTAGTTCAAACAAAGTTATTATCTCATTCGTACTTTCTGCATTTACATGAAAGAACGACTGGGGAAAAGGGATAAATGAAGAGAAAGAGTATATACCTTTATACAGACTAACATCTACAATGAGGTTATCTGTCAAAAAGACTTAACATAGTTGAGGTTTACTCACCACTCTTAAAAAAAAAGTGAGGGGAGAGAGTGAGAGAAAGGAAGGGAAGATATTTAACTACTACATTCATTTCTATGTACAGCACACAAACATTCTTAAAACTTGTTTAATAAAAAAATCAAACTTTGCTAACAAGCATAATACAGAATGGATATTTTTTATATGCAGTACAGTACATATTGGTATCTACAGTATATCACTACTGTTTCATGCATCAAAAACTGCACACACTACAAAACATGCATTCCGCAATTAAAAAATTTCAATTAACAATATACAAATTATAATACTATGCCACTTACTAGAGGTTAACTTTAAAATTGAAAACCAAAAAGCATCTATACAATAAAAAAAATTCACCTTAAACAGGCAGTGAACATCAAAAGATACAAAACTACCTGAGAAGTGTGGATGACTGCTGTTCGTGGCCTTCAGTACGAGGTGCAAGCTGGGACTCGTGAGAAGTGGACCGTCCTAATGGCTGCATGGGATTCAGGAGGCAAGTTTGATATTTCTTACCAGGCGGTGGAGTTGTTGGAAACTTCTTATCACCTTAAGAAACAAACCCATATATTATATGAAATTTATATTAAATTTATTGCACAAAGAATTCAGAATTACGTAATAAAAAGATATACTAATAAAACCTTTTTTTTTTTTTTTAATAAATTCTTTCCCATCAACACACATTTCTAGAATTTCCTCTTTCAGTCTAATAACTTTTAAACATTTCATTAAATGTGTTTTACCCTAACAAACATTTTAAATTCTAAAATGATCCTTCTTATTCCAATCCTACCAAGAAGCAAAAATAAGCATAACTCGTGACCTTGAAAATCAACTACACGCCTACACAATCAAGTACATGATCCCCAGATCCTTGCCTTCTTGTCATCAACAGACCAGAAAATAAGTTAAAAAAAAAAAAAAAAAAAAAAAAATGACCAGGACTCACAGCTTGTTGATAATACTACAATTACCAAATTTAAAAGAAATACTGGATATGAATTGGCAAAAACTGTCATCTTCTCTTTCAATTTAATATATTGCATAAACAAACAAGCTTACTGGCTACCAATTACACCCAAAATTGCTAGTTTTAACTAAAACCTATTTAATATTCTTTTAAACCAAAACCTACTTAATATACTCTATTAATCTCTATAATGGATGTGCTTTCTTTGGGTATCCCTGCCTTGGTGGGAGATGGCCATTGCAGTAAAAACAAGAAATTTTCCAGTGCTCATTCCAGATATATTTATGGCTATACATATTTAAGTTTGCTCAAAATGCATCCTCATCAGCTACTATAAAGGTCTCCCTACCGTACCTACATCTCATTCTTATTATTAAATCTGAATTTAACTAACCTGAAGATTTGCCTTTGGGTATTATATTAGGTGTGGGAGGAGGGGTACAGCGTTTCTCCGAAAATACAGAGCCACTGCCAGGAAGGGTGAGGTTGGAGGGTGCATGGAAGGGACCACCAGGACTCAGTGGAGGAACAGAGGAGAGAGGCGGAGGGGGCGACGAGGGAGTGGAGGAGTCATCGCTGCTACGCTGACTGAGTGGAGCGCCCCTTCCGCTGGTCCGACTCCCATCCCCACTCCAAGCCCCTCCACTTGTGCTGCCACTAGTGACACTGCCACCATCTCCATCAGAAGAAGACACAGATGAGCGGCATTCTCGTTGTGTCCGATGGCTAGGACGAGGTGATGGTGGGCAGGAGCGCTCCCAAGAGTCCCAGTACAGGGGCAATTCCGAACTTCCCCAGTCTCCACCCTGGCCCTGCATCTGGATCTCTGCAAAGGCAATTTTGTTTTTTTTAATAGAGAAAGTGGATGCCATTTGTTGAGTAATAGAAATAAAATCCATTTGTCTAGAAATCTGAAGATTTTTAGCTGAATTCCTCATGATAGATTAACTTGGGAATTTTAAAAAATAGGTGTAAATGAAAAGTTATTCAGATGAATGAAAAGTTAAGAAATGAAAACATTATAACACATCTATTTACCATTTACACAGTGTGTATTGTACCGAGCTCCTACTGCATACACATTAATAATCTCTTACCTGTATATCGTTTGAGATTGTGCATGGCTCGAGCCAGCTTATGGGCTTCACTCCGATCGGCTCCATAGTCACTCAGGATGTTCCGTAATTCATTCTCTCTCTTTTCAAGCAATCCTTCAAGTGTTGAGACTCGCTGGCACATACCCTATGCAGTAAAGTAGATAGAATAAACATAATCTTATGTTGGCACTTAGTCTTTTCCCTACACCCATAACAGTTGTCTCTAAAAAAAAAATTTGCATTTTTCTAATAATTTTAATATACTGTAGTAGTACGTATCACACATGGTACAGAAATACAGTAGATCCCCGGTTTTCGTCCTCAATCCGTTCCAGAAGGTCGGCTGAAATCCGAAATGGATGAAAACCGAAGTAATATTTCCCATAAGAAATAATTTAAATCCAATTAATCCATTTCAGACACCCAAAAATATTGACAAAAAATCAATTTTATAGAGAATAACTATGGTGTTGCAGCTCTTCCCTGTGATTGTCCACCAACTCTTCCACATCATGGCCACTCACATCCAACCCCACTTCCCCGAAATCACAATAGATTCCACAACAGGCATAGGGTTGTCAAGTTTACACTAACATATATTAAGTTAGTAATAAAACTAGGCATTAAAAAAAACAATAAAAAGTAAAATACATACACAGTACATTCATTACATACCTTAAAATATTTGTACGTAGTCTTAATGTAGGGCACGAGGCGAGTAGAATTTATTAGTAGTCCCAGGCAGATGTAGTCCACCTGGGCTATACCTACCGGCTATATATACTGCAGCCCACAGCCATATTATTACCATCAACATACCACGTTCACTGAGTTTAATCATTTCTAACAACTACCTTTAGATGCCATCATAAACAAAGAATAATGAATAATTCATGCCGAGAATTGTAAACAAAAGCTTATGTATTAAGGGCGGTGACTGGGCCAGACACAGATTCATAGAGTTTTCTCTAACGCTGGACCAGAGAAAACGAAGTGTTTTCCCTCCACCAACTCAACCCTCAATAGCACATAAATATTGCATGTTTGAATGCTATGTAATATGTTTCTTATATAATTTTGAAGAAAATATCATAGATGGATTAATGAAAGTGTCTATATTAACCTAAAATAAGACATTTAATGTGCCCAAGAGTGATTATTATTACGTATTAGTACTATAACTATGGTGTTAAGACTAGAGGTACACTCTTAGTGAACGAGTAACAAAGGCATGTTTATATGCCATGTAATGTGTTTCTTATATAATTTTGAAGAAAATATCATAGATGGATTAATGAAAATGTCTATATTAACCTAAAATAAGACATTTAATGTGCCCAAGAGTGAGTCACAAACGTATGAGCGGCCCAGATGCACGCGACTAGTACCGACGATTTCTGAGCGGATGTACGAAACCCGGGGGAAAATTTCATCGAAAAAAGTGCTCGAAATCCAAATTGTACAATTTCCGCACCGGACGAAAACCGGGGGTCCACTGTAATAAAAAAATACTAAAAACTACATCAGATTACAAAAATTATAGTACAAAAAAAAAAAAAACACGATTTTCTCTGGAGTTAAATAACAGCAATATTTGTAAGGAAGATTTACAAGAGTTACATACAGGTGATTAGATAAAAAGACTATTCTGCTTGTTAACATTAAAGAGTTAATAACCCAAAACCAAATTTGAGGGATACCAATTCTAAAAGTTTATCTACTAGTACAGCCTGGTCTGAGGCCAGGCTTCTCTGATTGCTTGCTCATAATTTATGCATACTTGTTTCTTCCATACAAATATATGATACATAAACCACATCAAGGCATGATAAGAGTAATGGAAGGGTTACAAATTTCAAAGCTGGGAGGAATAACTATAGTAATTGCTACTTAAAACAAAGAATAGTAGAAGATACTGTATCTACACTACAACATAATTAAACTATAATTAAAAACAATTAAGACTACACTGGAATACCAGCTACTTACAGTGACTGAATCCTTGCAGAGTCCTACCACTTGAAGCCACTGCTTGAGAGATGGGTAAAGCTGCAGCTCCAGGGGTAGTGGCACACCCCTTGGTAAGTGACGCTTCGTCACTAACTGCAGGCTGAACAGCTTCACCAGTTTTCCCTTTTTTAGCAAAGAAAATAAAGCTATAAATATATACAGTGAATACATATTGCAAGCATACATGGTAAGTAACATATACAAAATAAACCAAAACAACCAAGTACAGTAAAACCTCTCATTAACTGACTAATGGGGTAAGGCAGGCTGTATGATAATTCCGACTGTCCACAACATCCAAATTATGAAATTATTTTTTCATGATCATCTGTGATTACAGAAGACAATTTTTTTTTTTATTATTATCACACTGGCCGATTCCCACCAAGGCAGGGTGGCCCGAAAAAGAAAAACTTTCACCATCATTCACTCCATCACTGTCTTGCCAGAAGGGTGCTTTACACTACAGTTTTTAAACTGCAACATTAACACCCCTCCTTCAGAGTGCAGGCACTGTACTTCCCATCTCCAGGACTCAAGTCCGGCCTGCCGGTTTCCCTCAACCCCTTCATAAATGTTACTTTGCTCACACTCCAACAGCACGTCAAGTATTAAAAACCATTCGTCTCCATTCACTCCTATCAAACACGCTCACGCACGCCTGCCGGAAGTCCAAGTCCCTCGCACACAAAACCTCCTTTACCCCCTCCCTCCAACCTTTCCTAGGCCGACCCCTACCCCGCCTTCCTTCCACTACAGACTGATACACTCTTGAAGTCATTCTGTTTCGCTCCATTCTCTCTACATGTCCGAACCACCTGTAGTACTACAATACAGTAATTTTATAGTACTCTGTGTAATTTACAGTAATTTTACTTACCTTTTCATGGTGCAGAGATGAAGTGTAAATTGCTGTGATCGATAATGGTGACTCAGAATAACTCTTATTCTGAGTCTGAGGAGCTGTAAAGCTCTACTAGTAAAAATAACATACATGGTTGAGATATAGATGACAAAAGATGATGTAGAGAGTTGAAAAGATGTAGATGGCTGAGAAGACGTAAAAGACTATGTTAAAAGAGGAGCAGGTTTAATTTTTTTTTAACAAGCCGACCATCTCCCACTAAAGCAAGGTGACCCGAAAAAGAAATGTTAAAAAGCTTTCTTTCTTTTTACATTTATTAAGTTACACAGGAGAAGAGGTTACTAGCCCTTACTCCTGGCATTTTAGTTGCCTCTTAGAACTTGCATGTGGTAATGCAGAAGGATTCTTCTGCACTACCCCATGAATGTATCCAGCTTCAATTGTTTAAAACACTGATGCTGCTTCCCTATGATAAATCCTCTTAAGAATTCTAAAGTATGGATAACGGGTCTTCATTTTTGTCAAGAGACCCAGCATACATGATGAAAACATCAATCACATTTCAACAATTCATTCATGGCTTTGGTGGCTTTTCAGTCTTTTCATCACTATCCTTTAAAGGACGAGGCCATGCTGATTTGCCCATGAACATCAGTTTCAAATTGTGAGTACCATCATCATTATCACTGTATAATACTAAGAAGCAGTCTTTGCTGAGCTTACTGCCTGGTGTTATCTTCACCCACTACTCGCTTTAGAAACCACTGTTAATTGCACTTTACTTAATATGTTAATAAAACACACAAAATGCTCTAAGTCCAGGGAAAATTAGAGACTGAATGATGAAAATATCTGTGGTGAGCACAAAAATAAATTGGAACAGGTGACCTATGGCTCAGGACACCTAGATGAGGCCAGGAGCTGTGCTGTGACTCAACCCCTGCAACCACAAATAGGCAAGTGCAACTAGGAGAGTACAACGAAAGCGGGCAGGTCCTAGACGTGGCCGCTTGGCCCATACTGGACAAATGTCAGAGTCAGCAGCTTGGCCTGATGCACCAGAAGGCAACCAAACACTATTGTTATAGACAAAATGCAGAATTAAGAACTTTTGTCCATTTTATGATAGTCAGCATGTTTGTCGGGTCAACTGTTTTGTCCAAAAGAACCAAAATCTGTTCATGGGAGGTCCGTTAATGAGGGGCTTTTACTGTACAGTAAAGTACATACACTACAACGAATTCTGAACCTAAAACACACTCTTCAAGACAGAGAAGCAGAGAAGAGTCAAAGGTTTTATCCGAGAGACAAGAAATAAAGAAATTTACAGTAGCTAGAGATGAATTAGAAAAATATGCTAATACGTACTGTATTTATACCTAAATTAAGATTTAAAAACTGAGAGGAGAATGTGACTGAAAAAAAAATATGTACAGCAATTAATACAGTAGGGATAACTAGCCCTTTGCTCCTACCTTCTACAATAAATAAATACATACACATAGGGTGTGCATCAGTGATGCATTCTTGTAGGTAAGAGCACTGTCTAAGCAAGATTTAACTCCAATTTTTCTGGCTTCAACATGTCTTCTCTGCATTGACAAAACAGTTCTTAAGAGGATTTTGTTGACCCAGCCTTCTTACCTATAGTTTCTTCCAAATTATTGGTAACTGCTTGTTGTTTTTCCTTCTAAGCACTGACATATTGAGGGAATAGTAGATTATAATTGGATTAATCAGTCTATCGAGGCACAGACAAGGGTCAACTCGTCTTTGGCTGCCTTGAAACCAGAAGCATATTATTTATTTTTGAATAGGGATTTTTTTTCCAAAAGAGCATCATCTTGTTGGCATTAGGACTAGTGCTTTCCTTCATCCATGATCTAGATTTTTTTGTATTCACAAAAATGTTCTGGAATGAGTTTCGGGGATCAACGCCCCCGTGGCCTGGCCTCATGGTGGATAAGGGTCTGATCAACCAGGCTGTTACTGCTGGCCGCATGTAAACCGATGTACGAACCAGTCCGGCAGATCAGGTACTGACTTTAGGTGTCTGTCCAGCGCTTTCTTGAAGAAAGACAGGGGTCTATTGGTAATCCCACTTATGTATGCTGGGAGGGAGTTGAACAGTCTTGGGCCTCTGACACTTAGTCTCTTAGTGCCTCTGCTTTTCATTGGGGGAATGTTGCATCTTTTGCTTTCGTAGGGAGTGATTTTCATGTGTAGGTTTGGTACTAATCCCTCTAGGATTTTCAAAGTGTATATTATGTATCTTTCTCGTCTGCATTCCATATGGGTCATTCAGTGCTGAATGATCTTAAGTTGAAACTTTTGCACTTGCCAATTCTCACTCTACCCATCATTTGAACATGGTGTAGTCTGTGTCTCTTTAAATTCTTCAATCCACTCTTGAGCTAAAAGCATGACCACTGTTCTTTTAAGTTGTAATACAACAGCAGTGATTGTATATGTAATATAATTGGCCATCCAAAGGCAATTTCCTCTTTTAAAGCATTATCTTGGTCCCCACAGTCAGGCATATTTAATATGCTCATAACCATCTTAGAGCTTAGTGGACTGCTGTTTGCATCACAAGCTGTTAACACCATAATGCCTTCAGACAACTAAAGCTGCCTCACTATGAGGCATTTTTGCTTCACTTTATCATGTGCTTAGGAACCACAATATAGTGCTTTAGTAATATCCAAATAACATTAACAAGTGCAGGGTGGAGAAATGTGTTGGCAGCTCGGAACTGAAATATTGTACAGAAGAACCCAACACATAGGGCTCTGGTGGCCTGGTGGTTAACGCTCTCACTTCACACGGTGAGGGCCTGGGTTCGATTCCCAGCCAGAGTAGAAACATTGGACGTGTTTCTTTCCACCTGTTGTCTATGTTCCCCATCAGTAAAATGGGTACCTGGGTGTTAGTCGACTGGTGTGGGTCGCATCCTGGGACACTGACCTAAGGAGGCCTGGTCACAGACCGGGCCGCGGGGGCATTGACCCCCGGAACTCTCTCCAGATAAACTACAGGCATATACAGTGGAACCTCAAAAATCGAACTGCTCCCAACACGACCAATTATGTAAGTGTATTTTTGTAAGTGCTTTTATAAGTGTATTTTTGAGGGTCTGAAATGGACTAATCTAATTTACATTATTCCTGATGGGAATAAATTCATTCGGTAAAGGCACTTGAACAGCCTTCTGAACCGAAGAAAGTTCGATATTTGAGGTTCCACTGTACAGCCTCTCCTCACTTAGCGAAGTACTTGTTTACCAACGACTCGGACTTACGACAGGCTCTCTGACCAGTATGCATACCTAAATAATGTACGTATATTAAAGCTGCTTTCCTCTATTCTGTTTATTACAATATACAGTACACTACTGTATAAACATTTAAAAATGTACTAAAAATGTTATAAATGGTGCGAAGGTGACATTAAAACAATATCAAAGATGGTTGACACAAACCCATTACCATTATATTATGCTCCTTGCTTAGCGACGAATTCATTTGACGACATGGTCCTAGGAATGGAATTCCGTCGTTAAGTGAAGAGAGGCTGTATATACATACATTAATGCATCCATGAATGAGTGGTTTTAAGCAAATAACAATACTGTGACTAGCCAGGAATCAAACCTCTGATATTTTAGCATGCCTTCTGAGCCACTTGCCAAAATTCTGAGACACCTTAGTCCACTTGGCCATCAGTGCTTCAAACATCAGGCGCCCAGTACCACTGCACATGTCACCCGAAGCAAGCACATACATGGCCAGTGGAAGCTACAGAACTAATTTCATTCCCCTCCCATTTGGAATACCAGTCTTCACAAGCAGTACACATATTAATGTATCCACAGCATACATACATACTATACATACATACATATATAAGCCAGTATAAATCCTTAAATATGGTAAGTATCTGTCAAAACATCAGATAAAGCAATTTTTCTTTATGTAATCATACTCTTATTCCCTAAAAGTGAAGAATCTGTATTATCAGTCAGGTAGTGCATTTGGGAACCAAGATTTGCCTGTCATTTTCCTTTGGTTAGAGATATCACAGAGCCAAGTGCTGAAGGCCTTTCCCTTTTCCTCTCTGGCATGTATTGGTTTTCCTATCAATAAATGGCAAGTGAAGGCTAAACTTCCATTTTTGAAAGTTCAAGTGGGAATGACAGAAAGTACTTTAAGACCCTCCCACACTGAAGCTTTCTTTCTGTGGTTCAACAGTAGGTATG